TAGGTCAAGCTGGAAGTGAAAATACAATCTGTTGGCAAGGAACCAGCAATTATTCATTTCTGTTACAGGACGAAGGCTTGCTCAAAAGATAATAAAAAAACCAACTTCTGTTGGTTTAAGTATAAAATAAGATGCTGGAGAGTTACTGTACCAAATATTCTGCCATAAAATCAATAAGGCTTCTTCTCTACCGGAATTATAAAGGATTTCATAGCACACAGAAAAGATGGGGTGGATGAAGTATTTCCAAAATGTGCAATAACGACTTGCAGTGATGAAAAAAACTAAAAAACCCAAAAAATGCGTTTAGGCTATTTGAAGCTGATGGGAATTTTGTGGGCTCTAGAGCAGACTTAATCAGAAGGGATCATTTGACTGTGAAAGCCTCAAGTCAATTCCAGGCTAAGCATTGCTCCCCAGAATGCACTGGCTGATAGCAATGGTTGAGAAAGCGTTAGATAACAGAATGGTGAGAGATATTTGAAATTAGTTGCCTGACTGTGTTCACTGGAAGGGACCAGCAGCAACACACACAGCCAGAAATGACAGTGGCAACAGTCCCTCCAGCACGTCCACCTTTTATCAGCCGGGCAGTTCTAGAAGCGGAGCCCCTCCGGAAGTTCGGATCCTTTGGAAAATCTTGAAGTATCTGATGCATTTGGATCCTACAGATTCACTGGAGACTGTCCCGCTTGTGATATCAGGGGGGAGCCTCCATGAATGCTCGTCCCACGGGATGACATCCTGTCAGTGGGCGCGCGCAGCGGGAGCTGTGGAATCTCAGTTCTGCGCTCATTCACAGCCTGGGGAGAAATATTGTCACCTCTCTGCCTCTTGGATTGCAGAAGCAGCTGGGAAACAGAGCAGTCCCCTGACATATGGTGGAGTAACCTCTCCTTCTTAGGCAGGTTTTCTAACTTGTGCTGTGCTGATAAGGCTCTTTATAGAACAACCTCGTGCTCGAATAACTGCGTGTCTCGGGGTCCTGTGTCTTCCCTTCTGCCTTCCCTCATTTGCCTGCCATACTCTTCTCTACCAGAAGCAGGAGAAAGGGCTGGACTGTCCTGCTGGCCCCCTGCCACGGGTAAAATAAAGCCTTTCTTTTCTCTGTCACTTCTGGGATGACATGCAGGAACTGCAGCAGAAATCAGAAACCAAAGGCATTAGCACTTACATCTCCAGCTCTGCCTGGAGCCTTACTTCCCTCCGAGTATTCCCAGCCTCTGTAATTCTCCCACTGCTGACTTCAGATAAAAGGGGGAAACACCTACCGATCTCCTCTCAAAAGTAACATTGGATCACACTCACGTAACCCCTGCAACTAAATCTGCAGGAGATCCCAAAGATACCCCAAAGGAAGCAGAAAATCTTCAAAGTTTCTGTGATGTTTTCCTCTTCCTGCAACGATTTACACAACTAAAGCTTTCACCGTGATATCCTGAAGATATTTTATAATTGTGAAAATTTCTCTCCGTCCCAAACACATTTAGTTCCTCACATTTTGACCCTCACTCAGTCTTGAGTGACACACCTATGTAATTTTTCCTTTGATCTCCACCAAAAGGTAACCTGCCATGACCACCTTCTACTCATGAGTGGCTTCATGCCCTATTTCTAACCATTATTTTGTGGCCACCTTCTTAGGTTTCCTTTCTGTTGGTTCCAATGATGTTGCTGTCCCGTGAGGCAGAAGCCCTCTGTTACCTTTATGGCATGTTCCAGGATCTCTGGATGTTTGGCTTTTAAACATAGGCAATTATGTTCTTACAAAGCACATTCACTTCAGCTGCATTATTACAGAAAGCTGAACTTCCTGTTCTGCAGAAATCACATTGGGGCACTGAAAGGTGCAGTGGAAATAAATGATTCATTACAACAGGTGAAAATGCTTTTGCAATTGTGTACTGTTTGGTCAGGAGGTATTTTTGGTCCATCAGACTTTCCTCTGGGCTTTTTGGTTGTTTTTCCTATCCTCATAGAAGCAGAAAGTCCTACACTACCAGTTTTCCTTGTTTCAGGCTCTGTTTCTATAGGGGGCTGGTCCAGCACTGGAAGTGATGGTGTGATTTACCCTATAATACATCTGTTCTGCAAATACGTTGTTTTTCTGCAAATACATTTGTAGGAACGTGCAAAGACATGTCTTTTTATTGAACTTCGGTAAAAGATGCCCATAAATGATAAAGTTCAGTGGCACAGACAGGAACTGAAATGAAAATCATATGTTGCAACTCTTGTTTTTTGAAAACAGGGACATTCATTAGCCCATTTATCTCTAGCTAAAAACAAGGTACTGAATCTGAGTTAATAATCTAGACATTTTTTTTAAGGAGGCAATAAAGAAGTGAACATTTCTAGAGCATATTTAACCCATATCTTTTCAGCAGCTGCTTTGCCATAGGAATGGTACTGTTCAGGCCAGTTAAGTGCTTGCAGGCACTTACCTCTGTCAGGGACTACAGAGGAACTTGGACAAATTATTTAGATTGAAACCTCACTCTAACAAAGAGGCAATTCAAAAAAATCGGTTAAGTGCTTCATTTTCATTTAAATTTGATTACACATGAACCTTTAAATATCAGTCCATGTAACATCACAACAGCAACAATGAAACTAATTTTTAAAAGCTCTCCATCAATCGTTGGGAAATTCTCCTTTACAGCCAGCTTTTTCACTGATTTGAAATATCATTTGATGCAAGTAATTTGTCCTTTCTGCCTCAGGTTTTGATCTTCACAGAGATGAATAAACCAGTTGCAAACATCAGCTCCTTGCTGCATGAAAGAAGCTCGACTTCCTGAAGAAGAAAGTGAAAACTTGTGATTATTATTCACACTGTAGTCTAGCAGAAGTAGTAATCATACAATAGCTTCTATTCACTGAGATGCACAACAAAACGAACTAAAAAGCCTTTCAGATTAATTTCAGACCATAACCTCTGTGTGTGTGTGTGTGTGGTGGGTGCTGGATACCTTGAAGAATGCCTGTGTAGCCAGGATGAGTTACATGCACAACTGCTGTGGGGCCCAGGGTTGCAGGGCAGTAACTGCCTTTGTAGCAGCCATGTAATAACACTGCAGAATTCTGTAGGGGGAAAAAAGAATTTGGGACTTGGATGACTTGGTATTATTTACTGGGCTTATAATATTGTGAACTTCTGTCATGTATGAAAGGCTAGAATTTCTCAAATCAGCCCAGGACTTGGAGGATCCAGCAGAAGACACTCGAATGAGAAGTGGTCTTGACCTTTATTAATTATTCATCAACCATGGAGAGCAAACTGGGCTTCTTTTTGGGTGTCTCAAGCTGACCACCAGAAACACCCAAAACTTATCAAAAGCAGCAGTTGCTTTTGAAATGATTGGTGAGATACAATCCCTGGTTCCACTGAGTTTGTGATGCAAGACCCTGATCATTCAAACTCTGATCAGTGTCATTCACTTAAATACCTCTTAAGCTGCACATGATGATGAGTGCAAGACACCATCCTGCAAGCCTCTGTGTTTTTGCATGATCTTATCTCTGTACGCATCCTCACTGAGCTGAGACTGCTCATAAAGGAAAGCTATTTGTGTGAGCGTTTACAGGAGATGCAAGTGGAAAGGGACAAAAGGATGAAAATGAACAAGTAGCAAAATATAAAAGCAGTATGTGGAAGCTGAATGAAATGTCATTGTTTCAGGGATGTTGCTGGGGACCTGGGGTTAAGTCTTGCTTAACTGTTATTTAATGGGTCTTGGGGGGTAAGGATTTTTTTTGTCTTTATGAAATTACTCATTTTCTCTTCAGAGATCCGAGAAAATTCCTGTAATGCTGAGTTTGGATGGACAGCAGAGAAGCCAGCAGCAATCCCCTTAAATTTCCCTAAGATGCAAAATGGGTGGCAAACCCCAAAATGTGTGTGTTTGCTTCTTCCATCTCCCCTGGGGCACTCTCTCGGAGGAGCCCACGTGGAAAAAGATCCGCGGTCAGAAAAAGAAGAAAAAAAAAAATCTCTTTGAAGCTTAGATCGGGAGACGCATTTTTACTACACACAGGAGTGGTTTTTAACCCAAGTCTCTTTGTGGAATTGGGGACCAATAGGAGTTGGAGAGCCCCCCCAGGCAGCGGCTCCCCCGAGGAGAGGCAGCCGCATCCAAGGGGCCAGGCTCCATCTAGTGACACAGCCGGGGATGGCCGGGCGGCAATACAGCCCGGAGCAGCTCCGGGACACCCAGAGCCGCCCGTACCTGGCCGTACCGAGCCGTGCAGGGCCGTACCGGGCCGTCCCAGGCTGTGCCCCGCCGGCTGCGGGTCACCGGGAGCGGCGGTCCCGCTCCCCCAGCGCTCGTCCCCTGCCCGGAGAAGTGACCCCAGGGTTTAGGAAGCAGCTCTTTGATTTCTAAAAGGGGAAATACAGGACGGGCAATGGGGAGGGCAGGCGCTGAGCCTCGGCGGGGAGCGGGGCAGCCTCACCCCGGGCTGGCCCCCGTCGCCGCTGGGTGGGCTGGGATGTTACACACGCCCACCCAACCCTGGACCCCTTCCCGGCGCCCACATCAGGGCAGGGGCTGCCTGATCTGCAGCCGAGACCGCGGGGTCCAGCCCGGCCCGACGGGGAGATGCGTGCGCGGCCGGAGAGACTCGAAGGAGCGGAAAGCCCGAGGTCGCGACTTCAGGGTGTCCCCCTGCGACATGATGTCACCCGATCAATATTTTCGGGGGGAGTGACCGATCCGCTATGAAATGGGCTCTATATTGGACGCGGCCGGATCGATCGGGCTGATAACGGGAGAGCTATAAAAGGCCCAGAGGGGGCGGCTTCGCCCGCGCTACAAGCCCCGAGGCGCGGCCAACGCGCAGCAGCCGCCGGGACTCCGCTCCATCCCCGCCTCTCCGTGCCCACCAAACACTGCCTCTCCGAGCTATCACCGCCTCGCCGTGCCCATCACCATCGCTCCGTGCCCATCGCCATCGCTCCGTGCCCAGGCCAGTCGGCCCGTCCCCCGCTCGCCCCCGGGATGGGCTGTCCCCCCGCCGCCCTGGCGCTGCTGGGTCTCGCCGCCGCCTGTGCCGCGGTGCCGCTGCCGCTGCCCGACGCCGGCCCGCACGTCAACTACGGCTGGGGGGAACCCATCCGGCTGCGGCACCTCTACACCGCCAGCAAGCACGGGCTCTTCAGCTGCTTCCTCCGCATCGGCGGCGACGGCAGGGTGGATGCGGCCGGGAGCCAGAGCGCGCAGAGTGAGTACCGGGAACGGGGATGCCATGGGGTGGGACGGGACGGGGCTCCGCGGGGTTAACGCCGCTGTGCCTCTTTCCGCCAGGTCTGCTGGAGATCCGCGCCGTGGCCGTGCGCACCGTGGCCATCAAGGGCGTGCGGAGCTCCCGGTACCTCTGCATGGACGAGGAGGGGCGGCTGCACGGGCAGGTGAGCGCCTTTCTCAACAAGTCTCCTCTCCCGAGGGAGATTTCCAGGATTTCCACTCTGAAACAGCCGGCCAGGCCGAAGACATCGCGTGCTTTTTGCAGTTAATAGCGGGTTGACAAAGCTTTCAGGTGTTCATCACCCACCCCGCTTCTCCCCTTATCCTCCTTTTCTCCCTAGGACCCGTGATTCTTCTCACTGTGGAAGTTATTAGAAGGCAGCAAGGAAACACCATATAGAAAGTAAAGTTTTGCATGTTCCCCTGCCAAAATATACAGAAAATACAGCCCAGGGGAAAACCTTTTTTTAGGTTTAAAAAGTCTATTCAGTGGGAGGCTGAGATTCCACTGCAGAAATAGATGAAGTCGCGCCATGGAATAGGAATAGTTTCTCGCTGTTCAGGTCATGTATTCTGAAAAAAAAAAAAAAAAAAAACAAACGAGATTACTCCTTTGACAGCTGGCTGACAGGCACATAAGCCCCAGGAGCACAGACTTGCCGTCCTTTAAGTAGTTCCAAAGTGAAACAGGATTTCGAGGTGAGGGGGAAAGGGATGCTTTGCCACTGCCTCATTTCTGCCCTGCTGTAACACCGCACCTGTGGGGCTCCAAGAGGATGAGGGGTTAAGTGACCCACTGACACCGTAGGTCATGCTTTTTCACTGGGTATATCAACCATTCATGGGTATAAACTCATTTTTAAAGGCACGTGGATACGTTGCCAACTCTAGAAATTGAAGGGGTAAGGTTCACATTCGGTCTGTACAGAAGCTGGAGTTTCAGAGAGTGATAGCTTTTCATTGTGCCACAGTAAAGATACACCTCGATTCTGCTTTGATTACTCCAGCAAAATTTCTGCTGATTTCCATCAGGCAAGGACTTGGCCCATTCTCAAAGCCCGCAGTATCTTTAATAAGAGCAATACTGATGTTTCTGGATGTGGATATAACATAGAATTGAGCCTTTCTTCCTGCATCTCCTTGCTTTTCTGGGGCTCGAATCAATCGATGCCTTGATAAGGTGCACAGGTTCAGATGATATGGTGGGTCAATTATTAGCTTAATGTTTTAATGTATATCCAAAACAAAATGACCAATGAAACCAAAGCAGAGCCTGGGTCCTGCTCCCCTTGGAGCTGCAGCTGGACTTCAGCAAACAAAATTTTAAAACAGTTTTTCTATAACACCCTTTTGAAGGCATATATTATACCTTGACTGGTGTAAGAGTATTAAATGCAGGTCATTTTGTCTTTTTTTTCTGAAAATACAGCAGCGTATAGCCACACATCTATATGTTGTGGACACCTGCTGTCACCTCTGTGCTCACAGCCCAGCTAGGCAGCTCTGCAGGCAAGTCTTTTCCTTATCAGCTCAGGAGTGGAAGAACGAAAGGGCAAACACGGTGTCTGGGGACAGAACCTGCGCTCCTGAAACGTGCCCTTTTTGAACACTGAAAAAACTGATGACTAGGATTGATTTTTTTTTTTTTTTGTACGTGCTTTGTGCTGCAGTCAGTAGTTTAGGGGAAAGGGTGTACCTGGCTGAATATACTGACTTTCTACAAATGCCTCCTATAAAAAAAAAAATAATTATCTAGAATTACTTAAAGTGTATTTGGTACTGGTTTCAAAAATACACTAGAGACAATGGCAGTGAAATGAGGAGGGAATTGCATAGTTGAGACGTGGGGGCTCAATCAATATCTGTTGTTTGTAGTGTGCACTTGCTCATTGTAATGTGCACTTCTTGAGCAAGCAGCTCTTTTATTTCATCATCCTTGTCAGTGAGGCTGAGCACTCACAGAAATAAAGGCAGCTAAGAATTCAGCCATAAATCTGGGTCATATACACACATTTTTCTGAGATATAATGTGCGTAGAAGGGTGAATATTGCAGAATTTTGCTTGGAGAAAACGTATTTTTCAAAATTACTCAATCTGTTTTTAAAATGCTTTTAAAAGACAACCAAGTGCACATGCTTACTTGTACTCCACATTACTGGGGCTGTTTGAGAAAGGCCTGAAAGTATCAAATGTGCTCTCTATTCAGACAGGCAGAACATTCATGTAAGGACACTTCTATCACTGCAGACTGAGACATAATCAGCAATTCTCTTTTATTGACCACAAGTTCAATCACCTGCAGTGGCTGAGCCTGAAATAGCACCAGAGTTGTAAGAAATGCAGTGCTTGTGTAAGAATCTGGAGAGGTCTGACCTGCTGATACAAAATCCTAATACACATTTATTATATCTTATTTACATACATGTATTACAGATATATAATATCTGCACAGGCTACTGCAAATGTAATTCTACAAATTTGTGCCTAAAAAATTACATTCTTCTATACAAAATCTTAGCTCGTGCTGCTGTTAATCTGACAGTTCTCACTGTAATGCGAAAATGACACTTTGTAAAGGGGTCTTTTGCAATTGCAGTAAATTCTGAGTGCAAAAAAAAATAATGGCAATCACCTTTTAGCATTGTTTTACTGACTGGCCTTTCTACAGATGTGATTCTGAAGCCCTTATATGGGCAAATCTCTAATGGAGCTGGAGTTCTATACCTGAGGATTGTTGGATTAGCTCTCATGATCGCAGTTAAGTACTGTCAGCAATTAAGGACAGGTAATCTAGAGACCAGTTAATCCAAGATTCTTTTTCCCAGTGCTCAGGACAGGCCAAGTGTGGTGTCTGTGGAGAAGCACACATCCAGGATTCTTTGCTTATTTAATGTGATGGACGTGCAGTAACTTCAGAAGTTCTGGATTAGGTCTTTAAGCTGGTTTTGTAGCTCAAAACGCATTGAATGTGCAAAGTGGTTATCTCTGGCAGAATAGAGTAGAATAGAACAGAGTATTTGAGTTGAAAGGGCAGTGCAGATATCAGCTCACCAGCATGGATTCAGTGGGGTCTGCAAGGTGCAGTGAATCAGGATACTTGGGACAAGCCAGAGGGACACTCCCTCTGAGAGCAGAGGTTGCACCAAAAGTTTATATTGTGGTTGAATACAATGAGTCTGGTGGGCATATTTGTAATTCTCTTTACTCCTTGCTGTTCAGCTCAGGTATTCCACTGAGGATTGTTCCTTTGAGGAGGAGATTCGCCCCGACGGCTACAACGTGTACAGATCCAAAAAGCACGGAATGTCGGTGTCTTTGAGTAGCGCCAAGCAAAGACAGCAGTTCAAGGGAAAAGATTTTCTTCCGCTGTCTCACTTCTTACCGATGATCAACACAGTGCCTGTGGAGTCCACAGACTTTGGGGAGTACGGTGATTACAGCCAGGCCTTTGAGCCAGAGGTGTATTCCTCGCCTCTGGAAACGGACAGCATGGACCCCTTTGGCATCACCTCCAAACTGTCACCGGTGAAGAGCCCCAGCTTTCAGAAGTGACTCTGATCACACACACATTTTTACAGAAATGTTGCAGAGTACTTTTTTTTAGCTTTTCGTGTAGTAATATTTGGGACTTTTTTGTACGGGGCCAGCCTTTTCCTTGCAACGTGTTGTTCCTGTAAGAGATGAGTGCCGAGAGGCTGTTCTGTAGCGTAAACAATTGTTTATCCATAGTTTTGTTTGGAAAAGAAGAGCTGAATGAGAGAAGCTTAGCAGCTTCATCAGAGTTCCTCCATTACCAGGGTGATGATAAAATAACTACGATTTTCCTACAGCAGCTTCATTTCCAAATATGTTCCCCCGTTATTTCTGCTCACAGGGGCAAGCGCAGAAAACTTTTTCCTCCTCAGAGGCCTTAAAGACAAACATTTGGAACAAAACACAATTAAGGAAAACCTAGCAGATGCAATTACGTGGACTAGAATTAATGCTGTTTCTTGAAAGGCTGCTGACAATGTTCTGGGAAAAACTTTCTATTGAAAGCATACTATTGTAAAAAATACCCCAAATCTGCTTGTATATTGTGCTTTTCCTTCCCTTAGGAAATAAGGGAAGAAAGGGGGAAAATTTCTCCCTTTCCTTATTGCTAAAATGTAGTTTGGAAAACCTGATCTTTGATTCCTTTTGTAGGCTAATTTATGTTCTCTGTGGCATCAGCTTCATCCAGCAGAGAGTTCCCATTAAAATTAGTGAGAATTCAGTGTGTGGTTGGATGGAAGAGCGCACAGAACTAGCATTTGTGTTCACCAGGCAGGGAATGAGCAGTTCCAATTAGTGTTTAAATTAAAATTCTGTTGTATATAAGCATGTATGTTGTTAGCAAATGGAGAAAAACACTGGAAAAGGATAATGTATAGGTCACATCAACTGCAAAATAAGTTTTTTGTGCTTAACCTTTAACCATCAGCAATTCTTTCAAGTCACTTCCAGGCTTGATTCAGCATCCCTGGGAATCCGTGGAGAGACAATTTAGTGACTTAAATGCTGCAGAGGTGGGCCTGCTGTGCCACTGCAGGAATGTCTCATGGCCAAGACATAGATGTCTGATGTCTTCAGTTCTGTTCTCCCTTTGAGGTGAAGGAATAACCAGGGTGAAAACAAAGAAAAAAATCCCCCCCCAAAAGTTAGAAGATGTTTCAGGGATTCTACTTCTTTCCAAAGGTTCATTTATTAGAGATTTCTGTCCAAAAAAAAGCTCTGCTGGAAATACTGGTGTTCTTCTGACCTAGCACTTCATTGCCAATGCAATATTTATAATTAATTTATTGAGTACATACATCTGTTTATTTTGTTACTGTTATTTATGCTCAAAATTCTATTTATATACTCCTGAAAGTGCGTTTGTTTTTTTTTAGTTGTAACAAATCTCGCCAAGTTTTGTAATCATGAAATTTTAGCAGACAATAGCTTTTTAAATTTCTGTGCATTATCAGTAGTCATAATGTGTACATTTGCAATTAAAAAAAAAAATCATCTTCAACACTGAAATCTTGGTGACTCTTTTGTCATCCCCTTAGTCTTGAGACTGCAAAGAGCTTCAGCAAACTATGGCATCTGTCTTTGCAGCAACCACATGAAGTCAGAATCCCTTGGGAAGGTGAATAGACAAGGGCATGGACAGACGAAGGGATTTTCCCAAAGTTAGGCAGCACTGCCAAGGCCACCACTAAACCACGTCCCTAAGTGCCACATCCACGGGTCTTTTAAATTCCTCCAGGGGTGGGGAATTTCAACCACTGCAAATCCCGTGGATGGAAGGCTGCTCCCTTTCAAAAGTGGGAACACTCACCAGGGCAGCCAGGGAGAAAACTGGTTATTTTTGCCTGAAAAACGTGTCAGTTTCTGGCAGGAAAAGAGACTGAATGCTTGTGTTTTTAGATGCTGTGAGTCACAGGAACTGCAGGTTTCTTGGCTGGCGAACATCTCCCATGCTGTTTCCCCTTTATGCTGAGCCACAGCCACACATCCGGGTGGTTCCCACTCCTCGTATATCAGGAGACCTACCCCTGATTTTCAGTTGTTTTATAAAGTTGGTCAACAGAGAATTCCACTTTTACTGTTCTGCTAAAAAAAAAATTTGCACAGATTTGAATGGGAAATAAAGGAGTTCAGAGGGTGTACTGTATAATTTCACCAGTGAGAGATTCTTAAGTAGATACAACGTTGTGAATGTTGCTCAAGGGTGCAAAGACAAACAACCTTAAATTTGCAAGCAGCATCTTGAGCTCTCTGGTGACTGTTTGCTGACACCTTTGGTTTAACATCTTCCACCAGCAGCACAGTGTTTCTTACTGCAGCAGCATGGTTGGTTCAATATTTATTCAGACAGAGGGAAGAAGGCCAAGAGCTGAATTACCCACACCACTTCCTGGAGCACTTCAGCTTTCCTTGGAGTTTTCCCATCCAAGCTCTGACCAAACCTGGCTTCTTTGCTTATAAAATCTGACAAAATCACAGCTTGAGGTGAAAGGAAAATGCTTTCCCTACATCTGACACCTGACTGGGGCAGGAATTCGGTGTGCAAAACCTCCAAACGCCACTGCCTTTGGATCTGTGGGAATGTAAACACCACCACCACTGTTCCAATATAGGTCCTGGTCGATGATAGTTTCTCAAAGACAGTAGGACAACTGCGGTGCTTTCATTTGCAATGGTACATTTTACAGCCCCCAAAAGGGTTTTTTAAAGGTCGGGTGTCAAATGTCTCCTTGTGAAGTCTCAGTTGGAAGCTATGATGTGCAAATACGAGTCATTAGAGCAATGGGAAGGCTGTAGGGAAGGAGATACTTGGGCATCTTCATTTCCACTTGGAGGAAGTGTAAAAACCTATAAATCCTTTATTCAAGAGTCACAGCGTCCACTTTACCTCTGCTCAAAGCGCTGAAACCCTGTTGGTGGAAAATTCGGGGCCACTCTTTCTAC